AAAGTCACTAAACACACAAAATGCATTGATGTGCAGATATAGCCAAGCTTCTATAAGACAAATGGCCAATGTGATACAGAAATCTTAAAAAAGACTTCACCTTGTGAGAGTGAATGCTATTGAGAAGATAAGTGTAATTGCGGGCAAGGTTGATAGTCTCCGAGTTTGCATTCTTCCGGAATTCTTGCTTCACAAAGTCAATGAAATGAGACTTGTAATCTTCTTTACCAACATGTTTCACCACTGCTTTAAGAAGCTCACGATAAACTCTAGCAGCTATAACAACTTCACCACTCATCTTCTTCTTTCTTTACTTATAAACACATTTCAAAGAGAGACATAAATTTCGGGTTTTTAACTCCGAATCGAATCTGAAAATTCCAAGTTGAGAAACCTCAAAAGTTTTGTCCTTTCAAAAACCCAATTCTTTAACAACTAAATATACAAAAACTCAGACTCGATTACAACAGTGGACAAATCGAAGCAAAAAGTTGGAATCGATGATTGAACGAATAATCGAGATCGAATCAGGAAAAAAAGGCGAATTGGGAACAAATGAATCCGAAGAATGGGTCTTTTCGAGTCTGTTCAATAGAAGTAAGTGAAGAAGATTACCTTGAATCTCGCCGGCACCGATCGGATAAAGTAGACTGAGAGACAAAATCCAGCGGTCAAAGAGAAGGAAGAATCAGGATGTGACGAAGATGGACTTAAATTTCTTAATGGGCTTTTGAAAGCAGCACAGGCCCACAATATGAGAGGACTTGGAAGTTAGAACCCTTTTTTTTTTTTTGTTTGGTTAAAGAACTTAGAACATTTTCAAATAACTTAACGATTTTAAACTCAAATAGTTAATTACTAATTCATATGTTGGATAAAGTTTAAAATCGTTAAGTTATTTGAAATTGTTCTGAGAGTTTTTTTTTTTCCGTGGAATCGTGATCTCTGGTATTCTATCTATATGTCATAATAATTTGTAATAGTATAATATAAAATGATTTATTTTAAATTATTATATTTTGAAATCAAATAAATTTATTTTTGAGGTAATTTCTCGAAAATACCATATTTTAAAGTTAATTTTCCAAAAATGCAATCATTAATTTTCTTTTCAATAACACCACAAATAGAAAATTTCCAAAAATTGAAATATTTAATTTATTTTGGGTAAACAAGTATTTTACACAAAAATTTGTGGTACTACTCGGAAAACAAACTAGTAATGGTATTTTTAGAACTAAAACTTAAAAGGATGATATTTTAAAATATTTCTCTATTTTTTATTTTGAATTTGGTAAGTCAAATGAAACATATAACTCTTATATGTAAACAAAGTTATGGGCAGTCCGCAGTTGGAGCTAACTTCTTTCTATTTGTGTTGGTCACATGTTACTCACAGTTGATCGTATATTTGATTCCTCCTCGTTATTTTGTGTGTGTTGGATCGATTTACGCTAAATCTTATTTCACTGTAGAGGAACATCTCCTCTCAGATCGGTTTGTTGGGAATTTCTATTGCTTATTTATCGTGATTTTTGTTTATTTTGGTCTAGTGTGTAGCTATTGGTACTAAGCTTCCATATGATTCTTGGAAAATTTTGTGCAAGCGCTTTAGTTCCTGTAATTGTTTTTCTTAGCTCCTCTGATGTGATCAGCATTAGGGAATTTGGATTCTTGGAAGCTAACAAAATTCTTAGGATTAAAGTTAGTATGGTTTGAGATTTTGAGTTCTTGACATCTGGTCTGAGTAACTGTGGCAAGTCAATAGTTTTGTATTGGTTCTGATAAGAGTGATAGGAGCTGAAAATCTCATAAATTTGAAGTTGTGTTTATGGTGTTAAAATATTTCGATTCATGATTCAGGTTTCTCTAATCAATTTACGCGTGTTGTTTGAGTTCCTTAAAACGGGCAAGTCATTTTTGTTTATTCCAGTTAGAGGTCAGTGTGGTAGAAGTACAGATTGATCATTGGATTTAGCATGATGGTTTGAGTTGTTGTAAAAAATGGGTTCCTGAGGTGTCCAGACTGTGCTAGATTCTAGTTTGTCACTCCCTTTTCCTGTGCAAAATCTTGTGCACGTCCATGTGTTAGTGAACATTACACACTTAAGGAACCATGAAAAGTCATTTGTTTTGTTGAATTCCTATCTAGTAGCAACTCATCGCTATTATTAATATCTTTTAAGTTTGTGATCAAATTTGGTGATGTAATATATTGCTCTTGAAGATTATCTGTTGATTGATTTATTAGTTGTTTTTAGTAGGCTCGCTGAATGATTTCTTTTACATGTTGTACAACTTCTAGGAGAATTGCTGTGATCATTCATATATGCATTTCTTTTCGCTGTACAAATTAGGGGTTTTAGCAATAAACTAAGATAACTAAGCTAACTAACCTATTGAAGAGGTTAAACAAGAAGAAATGGAACAAGAAAATCGATTTGAAAAATTAGGGTTTGAAAAATTAGGGGTTTTTTACTTTGAAATCGAACAATCACTAAAAGAGCTTAAATCAATCGAAATTTAACTATCATATGAGACAAAAAAAATAGCTTACCTGTCGGATTAGGAATTGAAGTCGCAAGACAAAGATTCTTCTCTTGGATACGATTGAGAGAAACTGACAAGTACAAGACGATGATGGAGAAGAGACGTGATGATGAAGAGTGTGATACAGTAAATGAGGATTTAAGTGGGAAGACACGTGGATCGTGGAGATCTAAAGAAGAAGCAACGGTCAAGATTAAATAAGCAGAAGTGTTTTGGTTAAAGAGAAGCTGAAGGTCTCTTACGGATTCATTGATGAAAATTGTAAAAGTTTGTTATCTTCTCCTTGAATCTCTTCTTTTGTTAGGTTCTCATCTAGAGACCTAGAGATGATGATCGAAGCTGCGTTTCATGAACGTTGTTTTGGTTAACTTTAGAATTGAAGTGTTGATTGATCGATCGGTGAAGAAAGCTTTATCAAAGGTATCAGAGCTCACCGATTCTCGGAATCAATGGCACACATTCGACATTTACAACAGCCACAATCATATCCAGCGGTTTCGAGAACTCCAGAAACGGTGTATTCGTCATCGGAAGTGGTTCGTGGTCACATATCTGGTATGAATTCGAATTACTCAACTGTTACTCGTTTATCGAAACTGGAATTGCATAGATTTAGTGGAGATCGAGTAAGGGAATGGTTGTTTAAGGTGGAACAGTTCTTCTCTCTTGATTTTACTCCGGAGGAGTTGAAAGTAAGTGTTGCATCGAGTCATTTTGAAGGAGCTGCAGCAACGTGGCACCAATCGTGGTTTCAATCTGGTTTTGGGGTTAATTTGTTGCGTGATTGGAAAGTGTATAAGCTTCTGTTGCAGAAACATTTTGCTGAATTCTTGGGTGATCCTATTGCAGAGCTAAAACAGTTACAAGAAACTGACGGAATTGCGGATTATCATCACAAATTTGAGCTGATTAAGTCTCGTGTGAATCTGTCTGAAGCGTACTTGGTTAGCCTTTTCTTGGCAGGGTTGAGAACTGATATGCAGATAAATGTCAAGATGTTTCAACCTCAATCTGTTGAACAATGCTTAATGTTGGGCAGAATGTATGAGAAAGCTCAAAATCATTGGAAAAGGGTTAGTACCGAAACAGATGGTGATGAATATCAAAAAGGAGCTGAATCTTTAAATGTTCCAAGTGAAGCTACAGAACCTTCTTTGAGTGACATTCAAATGCACAATTCCTCACATAAGGATTCTGAGGGCAAACAATTGATTGAGCAAGAGAATTCTGTTGAAGCGGAGAGCTTGTTGCAGGAACAAGAATTGGTTTGTGAGCAGGCACATCCTCAGAAACTTGTTAACATGGATTTGCTTCATGAAGCTGCTGTACATAAGGATAATGACTCCTCAGTTGGGAAGCAGTTGATGCAGCAAGAGTCTTTTGTGGGTATGAGGAAACTGTTGCAGCAACAAGAAGAGATTTGTAGCACAAAATCAATTGATAAATGGCCTACAGTGCCAATGGTAGAGCAAAAGCTGAAGGACAAAGTTTTGAAGAGTTGGAAGTTTAAGTTCAAACCTGAAAAAGAGGACACAAAGCACCATCATAATCAGGTTTTCTATGTCTCGGATTTTGGCATTGACATGAGGTTTGTTCATCATGAGGAAACACTACATGATCACATTGGAGAGGGGTTTAAACGCTGGAGAATAATGACAATGTGTGTACTGTTTAGAATTGATTCACAAGAGGTTCAAAGAGGTATAAACTTACAGTGGAAGGTGAAGAAACTGAAGTGTCCCAAATCATGGAAATTTAAGTTTAAAAACAGGAACTTGAGGGGCTATAAACTGGACAGAGTGAAGTGGTTGTGTTTTCAACGTTCTTAGTGACATTTTTGAAGCAAGTTTTTTCAAAGAAGATATGTTGGAACAATAATGGGAGATGAGAATA